GAAAACAAAATTAACTTTCAAAAGGATACTAACAGAGAAAAACTCAGATAAATTGTAAAATGGATCAAAACTTTTGGAGAGAAGATATGGAAGTTATCACACTAAATAGTATAGATATATTACTTAATTAGTATTAAGCGACAAACTGTATGATTTTATATTTATTAGTTACATCATTACAACTCAGCTTTAGCTTGAAAGCCTAAATTTTTACTCCCTTACAATATAAAATACACTTTATTTATTTTTTTTTAATATCATTTATTTATTAAGTTGAAGCAGGAATACGATCAAGTATAAAAAGTGAATGGAAGGAAGTTCTAGTTTAACAGCTTCTACAGGTTTGCAGGTTACATTAACTTTTCAAGATAACATAGCGGTTTATTTTAGATTTATACTTATTTTAAAGTCATGCCAATGTTAGGCTTATTTTAATTCTTACGGTCTTTGCCTGACGATAGAACTGAAAATACAGAAAATTTATGTTAGACAATTCAACAATAACAGGGTACGAAAGCTCATTTCCAAAAATAACAAAAAAATTGGAATCGCAGACAGACTGATCCATGAACATCATCGGTGTAGGTGAGCAGTAAGCCATATAATACACACCACATGATATAGAAACATTATAAAATATAGAAAATGTCCATAGAGCGTTYTCCTTCCTCACCATTGACGGTCTACAGATCACGGATCGACTGTCCAATAAACCTGAACTGATTGCAAGGTCAGGGGCGGATCYATTGAAGGTGCTTTGGGTGCGGACGCACCCCCCTTTTTTGACGACGTATTTTTTAATATATCAGTATAAAGGTTGTTTTCTGCTGTTTATACTCCTGTTGTACTTTAATCGAGAAAAYGAGYAGCATAYACAACATGTGTCTGCCACTATGCTGCTTAACAATCTATTTGAGTAGTGTAGTCAAAGATACGTTGCAATAAAAGTCAATTTGCTTCCGGTCAAATTGTKCATAATTTTCTTGCTCTAGACAATAATGACAGTTCCATATATTACTGACAAAAGCACCCCCCTTATAAAATGCTGGATCCGCCCTTGAAGGTAGTTGACAGAAATAGACAGAAAGTTAGATAAACAGAGTGATACAGATATTAGAACAGTCCAAACAATGCTTACTTGTGTTACAAATTTTCTCAGTGAGACCACTCATCATCGCCCATAGGGATCCATAATCCTTTATACTAAACACGCTATCTTTTTTACCATTGGCGATCGCGCTTAACTCATCGTTTGGCACAAGGTCTGTTACACCAACCGAGATTATGTTGATGCCTCTATTCTGGAGAAGGTTTTAGTGATATTCATCAATATATTGACGTTCAGGATCCAAAACATGAAACATCGATAACGATAAAACCACAATGACAACCGACAAAAACATCATCTAGTTAATACAGACGCAGTCTCAAGCGTTAAAATATCAAATCCTCATTTGTATTTTCTGTTTATTTATCCAACAGAAGACGCTAGTTATGTACTCCTTTCTCAAGGTTGTCATGACTGCATGCTTCACAAAAATTRAAAATATTCATTCGACGTTGAGGATAGAAAACAAACCAAAATACTCATAAAAACTACCGTTTTGAYCAAATAGTGATTTTGGTTTCTCTACAGTACTTACTACAAGCGGTGCAATGGCTGTTGGGTATGGTGTGCTTCCAGGGTTTGTTTTATCTGCCGTAAAAACGACTAAAGCACCTGGRTTCATTGGACGRCGCCCTGCATCTTCTTTAAACATGGAATCTGCCAATGAAATGGCATCGTCCGTCCAGTGTCCACCACCTTGTACTCGAGGCAGGTCTTGTATCTTCTTTTGAAGCTTAGCAGAGTTGTAGAAATCGATATTGTTGAAGTAAACTTGTTTCACAGCTGAACTACCGAAGGTTATGAGACTAAAATGAGTAAAGTYAAGGCTGACTGTAAATTGGGAAATTAGTTCAGAGACAAAGTTCTTTAGTCCAGTGAAAACATCGTCAGTAAATCCTTGGTACGCATCGATAACCAACCCTACATCGATTGSTTTGTTATGGCATCCTGCTAAAAGAGTTAACAAATGACATATYATTAGCTTGCAAGTTACGTCACCACCGCCATGCTGAATGAAGATCATAAAGCGGTCTTCATCAGTTTTCTCTTGTTCATTCATCCAACATGGCGGCGATAGCTTTGTTCTTTATTTCTCAGGGGATTCCTGGTCATATGGTTGCATATCAAGAATTCAAAATTCCTTTGGGACTTTTTGTGTTAATGCAAATACGTAAAAAAAACAGAAGTATAATATTTGGCACAAATAGGTTTTTTATGTTTCATGTCGACGCAACATTATTGTATAGACCCCTTGCAGTTCATGGGAATGCGGCTCCAACTGGAGGACAAAACAATGGATTCTAGTTCCCAAGAGGTTAAAAATCTTTTGTTTTGTCCTCCAGATGAAGCTGCTTTGACGTCACATGCAAGGGGTCTATATGTAGGAGTGAGCGGAATACTACTTTCAATGATTTATTGGTACCTTGACCGCTTTTAACTTCACAACGAATGTGAAGTAAAACAAAGGAATTTAAAATTACTGTCCTCATGAATAGTACTGAATGTACAATTAATGAACACATATATCGAAATTTATGTAAAAGTACTGTCCATATAATTTATCACKGTATTGGCCAATGGGGATGAGGCTGGTCCCGCCTAATGACTCGGGCTAGGATTCTAGAATTAGGTCATTCTGCACGACGTAGAAAGTAGTTTTTACCTCTTGATGGCGGTGTCACTGAAATAGACAAAACCTCATTTAGAAATAACAATAATAATAAAATAGAAAATATTATATGGACGTGTTGGATTTTATAACTCCAGTCTTCGATTGATATCTAACGAGTGTATGAGCGATGTATGACCTGCTGAAATAAAAGTAATGCTTAAATTCATAAGTACATATGCTTACCAGAGCTGCAATTCATGCTACAACTCGTCACAACTTTAGTACTCATTATGGTCGACGTAGCTGTCTCAGTTTGGGTCTTGGTGTTGATCTCGGTTGATGTAGTTGTCAAAGTTTGGGTCTTTGTTTGGGTATTCGTTTCTGTGGTAACGGCTGTACTAGTAGCGGTTGAAGTASTCGTTTTGGTGGCAGTTATAATTGCCGTGGTAACGTGTGTTTTTGTGCTTGTATCAATTTGGGTACTCTGTAAGACTTTTGTAGAGGTTAACATTGAGGTGCTGGTTGCTATGGCAAAACTGGTTTTTATAGCAGTACTTGTTGTTGTGGCAGTTTCAGTRGCCGTGGTCACRTGGGTCTTTGTACTTGTATCGATGTGAGTGCTCTTCAAGGTTTCTGTAGAAGTAAACAATTTGGTGCTGGTTGCTACGATGAAACTTGTTGCTATAGCAGTGCTTGTTGCTGTGGCRGTTTCAGTGGCAGTGGTTACGAGGGTCTTTGTGTCCGTGACAGCCACTACAGATGTCGATGTTTTAGTAGCCACGTCTGTGCTGGTGTGAGTTGTGGTGTGTGTTGTAGTGTCAGTCACTGTTTGTGTTGTCAGTTGTGTACTGACGTCCGTGGTCACGTGTGTACTGGTCGTCAAGGCTGTACTTGTTGTGGTCAGAGTAGCTGTTTTTGTTGCTGTGGTAACGGCTGTTGAGGTATCTGTTGCTGTGGTAACGTCAGTTTTTGTCAGCGTTTCCGTAGTGATGTGGGTGCTTGTGTCTACATCAGTAAGTGTTGTCACTAAGGTATTTGTGACATATTTGGTTGCTAGGGCGGTCGAAGTTGCTATGGTTACGAGAGTACTAGTGAGTGTATCGATGTTAGTTGTTGATAGGGTATGAGTGGTTGTGTCGATTGCTGTCGATGTAGTTACTGCTGTATTAGTTTGTGTTGTGTGGTATGTTTGTGTAGTTACATCTGTGCTTGTGGTTGTTTGTATATCAGTACTTGTAGMCGTCTCAGTTTGRGTTGTAGTATCTGTACTGGTAGTTGTATGTGTAGAGGTTTCAGTTGATGTACTTGTTAGGATCTCTGTTGATGACAAGGTGGTTACTGCTGTGCTTGTTTGCACATCTGTACTWGTGGTAGTTACAAGTGCYGTGCTTGTGGCTGTTAGTGTTTGTGTTGCTGTACACACTCCTGGAGTCACACACGATGAGGACGTGACGCTGCAAGTATTGGGAGTCACACACGATGAGGACGTGACGCTGCAAGTATTGGGAGCTACACACGATGAGGACGTGACGCTGCAAGTATTGGGAGTCACACACGATGAGGACGTGACGCTGCAAGTATTGGGAGCTACACATGTTGTTTGTGTAGGAGGTAAACATGTTGGTTGGATGGCAATTACACATATTGATGGGAATCCACATCCTGGTATAGGACACGTTGTTGGTTGAGGACCTGGTACCTTTTCTATTGAAGAAGAAAGAAATCAATGTCATTTTTACTTTGCATATATTGCATAACAGGCATAACAACTACAAACAAGACAGGAATTAGTTAAATATTTCATGAATGTCTTTATGGAGAAGCTAAGCGTACTAGTCTTCAGTCTTTCTCTTTCGTCCCTCTTTTCTTTTTTTTTTCTCCCTTAGTCACCTCTCTTACCTATTCTTTACGTAGGGAACCCGAAATAAAAAAACTAGAAAAGCATGATGCCTGCGGAATTGAATATTAAATATTATTTGTTAAAGAAAATAAGTTCAGTTTTCTGGATTATTTCACTTTTTCAAGCCAGTGGTGTCGAGTCCAACAGCACTTACCYTCATAACAAACCTCTTTACTCATCTTTTTCAAAGTGTCGACAACTGTATTGATATCCTTGGCACGGAAGACATAAACTGGCTTAGAGGCTATCACTGCMAGTTGTGAAGGATCTGTAGAGTCACTRCCAATACATAAAACACTAGTCCCATCCTTTTGAACTTCCTTCGATGCACTGGCTACTTTTGCTTTCCAATCGAGCTCCGAGACAAGTTGATCACTTGGTCCTAACAGAACCAATATAAACAGTCATGAGGTACAACCATCTCATACTAATAAAAAAATAACATCCATACAACGATAGCACTAGATTATATCAACGAAATTCACTTCTAAGTACTAACCATCCGTTTTCCCGTCTGTAAATACGACAACAGCTTTAGGAATTCCTGGCCTTGATCCACCATTAGGAGTAAGAACTTGATACTTGGCTGCCAAAAGTGCCTGGTCTGTTCTTGACCARCCACTCATGTATTGTAGTGAACCAATCTTACCCTTCAACTCRTCGGCATTTCTATAACCGTTCARAGGTAYAGATATCACTGCATTCGTRCCAAACACGATCACTGCTACATGGGTATTATTTTGACTGACGTCAAGGCTGTCAATCAATGCATAAGCGGTCCTTTTCTCCTCGTCCCATGCTTCCCCTTCCATAGTATACGACGAGTCTAAGATGATGACAAGATCAAGGGCAAGACTGCAGACTTGACGAACGATGCTTTGGGCGTTACCTACACAAGGTAGTAAATATGGAACTGATATAGAAACTATAATTGTCTAACAATCAATATATGTGACGCAATGTTTTTTTTGTTTGACTTAAGTCAAAAATATTCCTAACAAAGGGTAGGAGTATTAGATACCGCTAAAGTGAATTGGGCCCAGAGGTTGTCCTTAATTAAACTCTCGGTCACTTTGTCGATCTGTAGACAATAATATCATTTTTTAGCTCACTCTTAGGATTCCTCCCCTCCACATTTTCAACAARTGTCTACAGAGCTCAGCGATAGAATCATATATTTTGTGGTGTGCGTTAGTCATACCTGTTTGAGAGACTGCATTATCGAGGTGGGGTGTACCTTGGTTTTTTCGCTGAGCATCAGTCACTCTAGTATCATCATATACGATGTTTGCGTAGTTTTGGACTATCGAATCTTCAATACCTGATATATATTTAGATTGTTAGATGATTTTTCAGATATGACCTTGTATTCTTGATTGAAAACACAACGGTTTTGTTACGTATTCAGAGAATGTAMGCGCCTCATCATTTGGAAGTTAATCAGTACTAACATGAGACAAACAAGTGTCTATTGATAATATATCAACTTTTACCTAAAATAGTGTAGATGACCTTAAAATGAACACATTCCTTCAGTGATCGAAAACTCACCGCACGAATGTTATAAGTCATATTGTAAAAAGTTGGTCATGAAAACATAATCTACTATTTAAAAGTGCTTTTGTCATAAAGGATAGCTGATATTCCAGAGAAATTATAACTGGTCGTTGATCATTAATTGACATATTCTGATTAAAAGGACGATACAGTTTAAACTGTAGTTTTGCGAAAACATGAAAACAACTCTACAACAAAAACAACAGCACCTCGGTTAAAAAGTGTTAATCTTATGGGAATAAGTAYAAAGTGAAATCTATTGTGTTTATTGTGATTATAACACTGAGGCGTTCCCTTACGGCCTCTTTAATCCTTCACTAWCTTAACATTGATTCAGTGTTGACAGCTTTTGCTTTTCGTAGTTACTATACCTTGTATTCTGTTTTCTTTGGTGGTCCATCCAGGTTGAAATAAATGAATCAAAGACAAATAAAACAATAAGACAAAAGCTGTTTTCGCCATTTCCACAGTAAAGCGATTTAGAAATTCCGCTGTCGCCTCCAGCAGATTAACCTGTTCGTCAAAACAGAAAGATAACTGTACCGTGCACTTGGATTTAGACGAATACTTTCATTATGACGTAACGATGTCAAGTGCGAAAACCTCTGTGTTAGTRTAACTCTACATCGTGYTCTCTTTCCCTTATATTTTCGATATTTTCTTATGTRTTACGCGACCATTTTTCAGCACTCAAAGTTACTAGACTTTCTGCGATAAACAATAAAAGATGATATTTGATTCAGTGTAAAAACAGCCGAAGGCTTAACGAACAAATGTCGGTTCTTTCAAGAAAGTACAAAAGATTCAATTTTCAGTGGCAGCCGAAAAAAATTACAAGCTGTCAATAATAAATATCAGTGAGTTAGCGATTTTACATCATGAGGTTCTTTTTGTCATTTCAACAGAGAAAAATTCAAATTCAAGAACCAAGGGCCTCATTTGCTTTTACTGACAAGTGTCCAAAAGTTGCATGAGAAAGATTTTTCTTTTTACTTCGTATTTTAATGTTGATTATTATATTTTTTTGAATTTCTTTAAACAAAAATTTATAAAAATAAAAAAAAGGAACTGGTAGCTATAATGATAATCGTGATATATCCGGTAAGCTGGGATTTTTGACAKGTCAAAACGTCTGGTTGCTGTACTATTTATTGTCTGGTTCAGTTAAGACAGCAAACAGAACTTTGATGTGATAAGAATATAAATGTCTTTTGACGAGATTTCTCTCAGCCAAATAACGCTAATTGTGACACATTTTGATTTGCTATATTTTTATATTGTAAGATCTTGCAATTTGGGGATAAGAAATGTATTCAAATGATATAGAGCTGTGCCGTTACCTATATATATATACCATATCGTGTCGTTAGTAAGGGCCTAGACAGCAGCAAAAAATATCGCAACATACAGCTATAACGGCTCATTACTGTGAAAAATATTAAAAAACAACGTTCAAACTTCTTTGACCTTATTCTTATTGGAATGTATGTCATGTCATGTTGAAAGAACATTTTGTGAAACATTCTGTCCATAACTTCGAAAGTAATCCTTACTCCTCTTACAGTTAGCCAAACTGATTTTGGAAATTGTCGAGAAATCCTCGTTAGTTATATGATTAAGCTTTAGGTAGATTTATCTTTT